TCACGCGTCCCATAATGCACCACGCGGTTACGCCAACGCCGCTCAAGCCGGAAACGGGCTCCTAAGAGCTGCGCTCTAAAACAACCTTAGTTAAAATTTTGAGCTGAAAATAAAAGACGTTTACAAATCTCTGTAATACGAAACTAGAGCGCAGCTCTTGAGGAGGAGGAGTGGAGGGTACGGAAGGAAAGGTGTGCCCCTCCTTCTCCTCCTCCTCTTCCCTCATCCTTTTCCTTTGCTCCTCCTCCTCTCCTCCTGCCTCTAAATTTGTTCGTGGGTGACGTGACACAAAATCGTGACGTCATTTTCCCCACTAAATTTAGTGGAGAAACTTAATATGTGTTCAGATCACGTGATGCCGATTTCCCCGCTAAATTTAGAGAGGAAACTTTTCCGCTAAATTTAGCGGGAAAATTTCCCCGCTAACTTTAGCAGGGAAACGACCCATAATACAACGCGCGCGGTAACGCCGACGGCGACGCCGCTCAACCCGGAAACGGGCGGCCAAGAGCTGCGCTCGAAAACGTTTTTTTGTGTTATGCTTGTAAATATTAGGAGGTTGAGAAAGTCAGCCATCAGCGTTAACTTCTAATTCGCCGAAACACGGCTGATCACACCACACCGCCATCACCTTCCGCACGGTAAAAGTCTGTTTGTCAAGGTGTCACCGTGACAAAAAATCGTCTCATGGATGGGTGCATGCGGTAACGGTGCGTCTAAAGCCAGCAGCAGCCGACGCCATTTCTTGAATATCGCCTACTAAGGTTAACGCGGCGACGCAACAGACGAGGCCGGACGTGCGGTGGTCGACGCTGAGCGGAGAGCGGACGCCTGGCGAACCCTCGGTGGTTCCGACGAGTCTTGCGGCAAAATCGGGCCTGAGATTAGGGCCCGTTTGTAGATGGTGTGCAAAAGCTTTACCTGTGTCGTCGCGTTGAGCACGGAACAGAGCGCGCACCTGCAGGGGCCCGCAATCCGCTGCTTACGATCAACGAAAAGTTCCTATTAGGGAGTTCTCGTACATCATCAGCTGTGATGCTATGAAACGAGCTCCCGCTCCTACCACTGCGATAGCAACGCAAAGCTGTTCGGAAAAATCTACGAAAATGTCCCATACTATATTCCAGTTTCGCCAGCGGAGCGCAGCGAGGGGTGACCGCGCGTTGAGGGATCTCCGCGGAAGCATAGCTTGGAGTCCCAGCTATCCTTGCCTGATTGATATTGTGGGTTTTCCGTAGATTATAAATTATGGATAGCGGGCCTTGCGCACGCGTGCTCAATCCGCACTCAAAGTGACGAAACGCCAGAGCTCTGCGGAAGCAGCGGGGGCTCTGGCGTCAACGAAACGTCCCTATAAGGGACTTTTCGTAGATCGTAAACTGCGGCTTGCAAGCCCAGTTGGCGCGTGCTTAATCTGAGCTGAAAGTGACGGCACGAGCTTCTGACGAACTCAGACCATAAGCTGCGGATTACGGGCCTGTATAGACGCGTGCTTAACACAGAAAAATTGTAATCCGATACGCGTGCACAGGCTTGCAGTTGGGAAAGCTGATGTTTGTCTCATTGTTAAAATTCCGAGCCCGCACTTTCTGAGCACTTTTCTTCTCGCGCGCGGTAATTTTACGCGACGATTTCCTCATCAACATCTGGAGAATATACTAACTGTCGCGTACTGCTACGCAACAATTACGCCTGAATAATGAGAGTATGGACTATAATATGCCTCAGCTGCCCAGATTTCAAATGCAGGTATGACGACTGAACTGCTCTCATCTGCAAGCAAATTTAAAATTCCAAACAAGAGCACATACACCTAAATGAACCACCATCACAGGCAGTGCATTCGCGGGGTTCCTTTGCAGGATTCTGGACATTTGCAGCTGCCCTATTTTGAAAAGACACAGGACACTCACGCAAAAGCATGTATACAGTGGTGGCCCTACTTAGGTATATTGAGCACAGGAACTAACTTATCTCTCGGGAGCGCTGTAACGACGGAGGCCGGACCAGTGGCTTCGTGACATACACGCAAAAAAGATTTCCACCCTCAGGGTGCAAATCAACATGCCTCATGGCTAAGAAACACATTTGTATTGCTGGCGAACAGCACAAAAATAGGATGCTGGCGATTTTAGCATCCCTCTAAAGACATTTGCAGCAGCAAGATTACTTTACAAGCAACAAACCCAATGAAGAGTTTTAATATGCACAGAAAATGACAATACAGATGCAGTAAATCATCCACGAGAGAGGAATAACGACCTTGTTGACTGCTGCTGTCAAACTCGTTAGTTGTTGGGCATGACGATTTCGACAGTCAGATATGCCCCGTCGTGCGTCGTTTTTGCGGAATGATAAAACTGAAAGACGTTCACAAATCTCTCCAGTGCGAAATTAGAGCGCACCTTTTGAGGTATTTTGATTTCGCGATATACTGTGCTAAACAATTTGAGAAAGAAATGTACACATGTGCACAAATATAGATCACTCTCCTCACATACTGGTCCTGCACCCTCCTCCCCTTCCGTGTCATCTTCCTCCTTCGTACACTCCTCGTCCGTACTCTCCCCTCCTCCTCTTCCGTGACTTCCCTCCTCCTCCTGCGTATCCTCCTCTCCCTCCCCCTTCATACCCTCCCCTCCTCCCACAGCTTCCCCGCTAAATTTAGCTGGAAAATTCACACCCCGTGACCTCAACACCAATTCAATTTCCCCGCTAAAATTTAGCTTGGAAAATTACGTCACATGACCTCGTGTCACGTCACCTATGAACAAGTTCAGCTTCTCCGCTAGACATAGAGGGAAAATCGACGTCAAGTGACCTCAACACCAATTCAGTTCCCCGCTAAATTTAACGGGGAAACAGTGACGTCCCGTAATGCAACGCGCGCGGTTACCCCGACGGTGACGCCGCTCAAAGCGCAAATGGGGGCATAAGAGCTGCGTCCTAAAAATTGCCGCAGTGCCGCTGTGCAGTGATTTCGGCCTTGAGCAAGCGGCCCACATACATTTGCCACTGCATTGCGCTAGGTCATGCGGAGCCGGTGTTCGACTGCAGCTGGAGGATAACGCTTCATGAAATGGCACACAGTTCGCGCGTTCCGTACAAGTTCTGGAACCACTGTATACATTCTAGCACGCATATGAACCAAAACATATATGTACAGAAGGACACACGTGTTCCGCGCTGAACCAGCTGCGCTTTCTGTAAAGCACGCTCTTTTCAATATGCAGACACAAAGATATTGGCAAGGAAGCCGTACCATAAGGAGCGATATGTCCAGCTTGTCTTACACACAGCTCGGTGTTTACTCAACACAAGGCCTGTTGGACATTACTTTTTACGTCACTTTCTTGAATTGAGCGCGGTGCACGAACTGGACAGAAGTGCAGCGTCTGCATTTAACGCGCGTGCGATCGATGCTCTTCTGAATGAACACGAGCCAAACCCGAACGGGTTCGTCGACGTCAGGCGAGCGTTGCGTTGTCTCCGTGGCTTCAGTTCTCAACTTAGCCGCTAGGGGCACAACGGTTGAATCTCGTCCATTATGTTACGCCAATACAGCACAGCACACCACTAAATACAACAGTGTACAATAACGGTGAAAATGGTTTGAAAGACCCGATCCGGCTTTTTTCTGCGTCTGCTGTACCCACAAGCTTTAGACTACAGCTTTCTCAGCGAAAGGACTGTCAAGTACGTCAAAGAAGCGTGGGGGACTGCTTCAGATCATATTGAGCACGACCTTCAGATTTCGAGCCAGGTATAAAGGAAAAATTGAAAAATGAAGCTACTCCAAGCTGCTCCTTCGTTACAACTGCAGACTATAGGGTGTATCCCTCATGGGATATTTAAACATTATGGAAATCTAACAGCCCGCAAACACTAAAGACAAAAAAATGCGCAGATATATGGCCCGAGAGGCAAAGCCGTCTACCGCAATTCATGCTTGTTTTCCCGTGTATAAGTTGTTTCGCATTGATTTTGTTTGCGTTTCTTTTCGTCTGTGCTGTTTTTGATTTCTCTGATGTTTAACGTATGCCACCTGGCCCAATTCCCATTCATGTTCGTTCCAACCGAAACATATGCTGCCCTAATTACGCTCATCTGCGTGTGTGCTTGAGTTTCACAACTAGAACTCACATGCAGATGCACCGCGGTACTAAAAGCAGAGCCTGGCAGTTCAACGACGGAGCCAGAGAGTGCCCGGTCGCAGATTTGGAGCGCCAGGAACTGGTGTCACAAAACATTTCTCGGGGAACCTGAACGTGAGCGCACAGCTTTTGCAGCGGCGAGGACGCGAAACACACTTGTTCGCTCGGGAGAACTGTGTGTTCGCCGTCTCGCCGCAGCGGGGCGCCAGTAACGTGGCTCTCCACTCATCCGTTGTCAGCCGCTACACGTTTTCCATTTCGACGGCCGCTTCTCGTGGCGATCTGTCAGGCTTTGTCAGTATATAGGAGGCAGTGGCTTGACGAGTTTAGGGCCCCAGGTCTACTAAGCTGCAGAGCACGCGTTCTGAGCGCGCGCAGTCGCGCTTTTTCATGTAATATCAGATGCCTTCCATGCGTCCACAACTCACTATCAACTCGGCATGTCTTTTTTTTACTAGGTGATATTTGTTGGTAAGAATTACATAGTCACCTTAAGAAATAATTGTCACTCCGTCCCCAACGAGATTGCCGCATTTTTCGATAAGAAGACCGAGGAGGGCATTGCGAAAGAAGACAATGAGCCAGCTGTCACTGATTGCAGTCACAGACAAGACGGGAACGGCGTTTCTTTCGAGCGCCCAGCCTCCACCACGCGCTTGTTGCCTTCCGTCGTGCTTGGGCTGCACGATCACGAGATGCCGAAGCGTTACCGAACAAAGCGACCTCGCGATAGACGCGGGACAACCCTTAACTCCACCGTGCACCTTCCCATCTTCTCAGCGAGTACGTAGGCGGCAGTTAGAAGGAAGCAACGCGCGAAGACAACGAAGTTGACACAATATTTACCTCAGTCGGTCGCACGTGTGGCATTAGCAGGGGGAAGTCACTGGCCGACGAAACGGAACCAAGAGTCCAGACGAGTTTGAGGCAGTAAGTCAGAGCAATTAAACGGAAGATCACCATTTTATACCAATCGAAATCACGTAGGAACACCAGCAGCACCGCGAAGGTTTCGCGCGAACACTACATTAACGACAGACAGCTGTGAGATCAGTATCCCCGAATGTGCCGCGGGCGTGTCTCCAGCCGGTGTGCTTATCGCGTCTCGGTTTCATCCCATGGAGTTACGGCTAGTGACGTCACACCCGCATGAAGCTGCCGCTTGCCGCGATCCTGGCGGCGGCTCACAGCAGCGGAGGTGGATGCGGGCGGACGCACGTTCTCTAGCTCCCTGAGCACACCTCAGCTTTAGTGACGCCGCGATGACGGCGACGCTTGCGGACGCTGTTCTCTCTTAGCCGGCACTTCTATGTACCAAACTCCAGGACCTGGCTAGGCCATCTTACTTGGACGCTCCTGTGGCTCGTTTTGTTGCCATTTCGAAGACAATCCAATGCATGTTTGGCTAAGTTATGTACTATATGTATTATTTTAGAGCGCAGCTCTTAGGCGCCCGTTCCCGGCTTGAGCGGCGTCGGCGTCGCCGTCGGCGTAACCGCGAGTAACCCTCGTAACCCTCGTGAGGGTTACGAGGGTTACAAGGGTTAATCTCACGAGGGTTACCCTCACGAGGGCTACGAGGGTTACTAACCCTCGTAACCCTCACGAGGGTCACGAAGGTTATGAGAGTTACTCTCACGAGGGTCACAAGTGTTATGAGAGTTACCCTCACGGGGGTCACGAGGGTTATGAGAGTTACCCTCACGAGGGTCACGAGAGTTACCCTCACGAGGGTCACGAGAGTTGCCCTCACAAGGGTTACTAGGGTTACCCAGGTCACGTGACCCCTCCCCCGGGGTCACGTGACCTGGGGATACCCCCCCCCCGAGGTCACGTGACCCCCGTTGACGTCATCGCCACTGATGACGTCATCAGTGACGTCACTGATGACGTCACCGGCATCCGGATCGCCATCATCATCACTGATGACGTCATCAGTGACGTCACTGATGACGGCACCGGAATCCGCATCGTCATCCTCACTGATGACGTCATTAGTGACGTCACTGATGACGTCATGGGCATTGTCACGTGACCCCCCCGCCGTCACTTGACCCCAAATCACGTGACCCCCCCAGTACCCTTCCCTCCTCCTCCTCAAGAGCTGCGCTCTAATTCGGCGTTACAGGGAGTTGTAAACGGCTTTCATTTTTTAAAACTTTCATCTACACAAAGAGTGATTAAATATAGGCACGCCTCGATTTTCCCAATACTTCTGCACAAACTTGAAATATAAATCGCAAAGCGATAGACAAGGATACAGACAAGGACATGAAGTAGAGAGGCCAGCGCCATTCTATGTCCATTCCAATAGAGCTGTCCCGTCTACTTTATGTCCTTACCGTTCACATTGCGCTTTATATTTTGGCCAATTTGTAACGCTGGCCCACCCTAATCCTTTAGTACTTTTGCACAAAAACGTTCTTCACGGACACTTATGCGTTTATATTAATAAAGAATGCAATCACCTTCTAATCACTTCCCTTTGACACCTACACGACTTCAATCCAGTTGATTTTGCGGCGCTTTTTTTCAACGATATTTATTTGTTTGCTTATTGTCATATTTGTTTGAGAATCCAGTGGCCGCGTAACAGGGTTAGCAAAATGCTTTACTCGTATTATGCGACTTTGTTTTTCTGATCGTATTCATTGCATGACAGGCTTCAAAACCTGTACCAAATGAGTCCGCTGTTTTTTTACTTCGGTGTATCAGTGAAACTCTCTCGCATCGATCTCTACAACTCTTCCACTTCGTAGTGCCTTGGGGACAGCTTTTTATAAACTATATAAAATACAATTTATTTTTAATAGGTGTCCGAAAGCACAATGGCTTCCTCGGTCACGCTAAAACGCGTTGCGTGAACCCCGGTTACCATATACAAACATCTTTCACTTCATTTAATCTATTTACCTCAGAGGCGTCTTTTCGGAGAAATTACATGAGGGGGGATTATCGGCAAAGGAAAGTATATCACGAACATTGCAAGCTTACAAATTGACATTTAAGAACCATTAGATATCAAAGTACACAAAATACACAAATTCGTATACACATCAGTCATAATACAAACGCTCAGAGAGTTCCTTAAACGGTACATGATTTATGTTGGTCACGATTTCGTCAGGCAAGTTGTTCCATTCTGTAACGCTCTGTATTAGTGCGGAAAACACAAAGAAGTTATCATGCGACAGATTTTTTTTTTATGTTTGCACGAGTTATTTGTGCGAGAAGAAATATAATGAGCTGCTTGGCAATATGTAATTCTGAAACGTGCAATGTGCGTGTTCGAACGGTTGTAGAAGCTTGCCGTCAACACGTGCTCAGCAGCAGCGAGCTCAGCTATGGCTGCCAACGCATACACTAAGAAATAAAATAAAATAATTAAAATCAAAAGAAAACGACGTTTACATAGGGAAATTTCAAAATTTTAAAGTGCTCTTTTCTGTAGTCACTGTCATGCTACAGGGAAGATACAGTTGCAGGGCAAGAGGTGAAGACTTAAATAATTATCTCTCGGGAACTTAGGAGAATTCAGTTAGAGGATAGATTCATACAAAATTTAATAGTGTGCAGTCCCTACTATATAGCCCTCTGGCAACTTTGTGAAATATTTAATGGCTGTTTAATAAATCTGGTATAACCAAAACCGAACGAAGATTTCTATGGGAGTCAATGGAGGGAATCGAATTTTTTCTCCAGGAACCTACGAAAACAGTCATAGATTAATAAAACTTTTCTTGGACTAATAAATCTAGCTTACCTTAATATCCCTGCGAGAACTTTCCGTTATTTGATTTTATAGTTATGTATCTGTTTTCACATCTCTGTCAAGAGATGGCGCAAGTGGACCATGTCCCGAATTGCTAGGGATTTTGCGCCGGACCTTTCTTACCCTTGAGTCAGGCAAGGCGGCCACTTTGAGCCGCCCCAGGGAGAGAGGTCAAGCAGAAGTCCCAAACGGCGTTCTGGTAGCGCCTGGGATCAAAAGGCGCCCCGAGCGTAGGAGTGAGCTCGTGTGCACATGAGGCTAAGTAATGCAAATTTGAGTGTTTACGTGCCAAAGCAACGAAGGGCATCTGACACGCCTCAGCGGAAGACTGGGGATTAATTTCGACCACCTGGGAATCTTTTGACGTGCAACCGAAAGCTAGGTTACACTGCGCCTTTTCCGGAATAAGCCTCCGTCAGTTCGCGGGCACCTCGACCGTAATTCGGTCCCGCCGACTGGGGATCCAGGCCGGCGCTTTGCCTCAAATCATGGGAATCATGTTAAAATGTACCCTCCCTCATCTTTTGAATCGTTTTTATGAACTCAATATAGATATCTTCAGTATGTCCACCAAACAAATAGGTTCACTTTTTGTCTAACACTAACTCTCATAAATGCTATATATATATATATATATAAACCTTAGTTTGACACAAACGTATGCGTTTTGCGCGTTTGTTTTTACTTACTTTTTTGTTTTGTTTTTTCCCCTTTTGCTTACATTATTTTTTTTCAGAAATAGAGATGATGTTGTCTTTTCCGGGCTCTCTTATGAGTATGTTGAATGCTAGTGTCCTTACGTTTATGTTTGCTTTTACCTGTGCTGTCAAGTCAAGGCTAGTCAAGCAGCGTTTGAGTTGCTTTTTTCTCTGCCTCCTTCCTCAGGTTCAGGTATCAATAAAATAATTTGAATTTAAAGCCACTTAGATGGCATGAGGCTATGTGGTCCACGATCTCGTTACCGCAGAAGCCCACATGAGAGGGGACCCACGGGAGCAAGATGGAGTGTCCATGTGTCCACCTGGCGGGGCGCCCTTCTGGCCTCGTTGGCATGTGGCCGTGGACCTGGCTTGCGTATACGCTGAATGCTTCTGCGGGAGTCCGTGATGACAACGATTGGTTGTTGAGGCAAGGATTTCATTGCAGCCAGGGCTTCCGTAATCGTCCCAAGTTGTGGAGGACATCATGTGGGTAGTGAGGGCGCCCCAGTCCTTTTGTAAGGCCGGAACGTGAAAGACTGCCGCGCTGCTTTGCCGAACCCTGTTCCCCGGTCGGTCCCTGTATATGTAAAGGTGCCGAAGGTACCCTGCGGTCAGGTGTTCTTCAGCAGCTGCCTTGAGAACTGGAGAGGGCGTGTTGGTATTCTTGCAAACGCCGGGTAGGTATTCTACTAAATGCAGGTCTGCCTCACATGGGGACGTCGTGCCGTGTCTTCAGCCTCTTGATTAGGGCCTTGCCCGGGCAGGTCTCTTCTAGGTGGGTGATCTGCAGCAAAAGTCGTTGGGAGGCTCGAAGGTGCAAAGGAAGCGACCGGGCCTCCTCGTATACCCTCTCGTTTCTTGCGCTGCCGCGTACGCTTGGCGATGTTCAAAGCCCTGTACGGTGTAGCCATTCAAGCTTCTTGGCCTGGCTGGGAAGAAGGTGCATGTATGGCCGCGATGTTCCTTGCGGCGAGTGCCTCTGTAGGCACCTGCCGGGCTGACGTGCGTAGCACGTGGTTTGGTTACGAGGTTTCTTCTTTTGCTGAATAAAACAGGTGCCGGCGTCGCTATCCTCGGGAAGACACAGGCGTTTATTGTCGATGTCGAGGTACCCGGTAGCTGGTTCGCGTCGAATCCCGCAACAATTTTTGACGGTGTTAGAGAGAGCGGTTCAGGGCCGTGCATCCCGCAATATTTCTTGCAGCGAGTCTTTCGCCGTAAACAGTGATAGACGGTCGTAACAAAGTCGGTCACGCACTGACGTAAATATCTCAACCAGCTCACAAAATACTCATGTGATTCTCATATTCGAGAACAACCATACAAGTTCATAAAATCGACATTAACTTCTCTGGAGATTTTTTTTTAAGTTGTTTATTTACAGCTATGTACACAATAAAATATGATACTTGAAAGGAACTGATAAACAATTCGCGATATGTCAATCGAGTTTGCTGGCATCTTTATCGATCTTGTTGTTGATCAGCTTCCTCATCATTGGGTCCGTCCTCCAGGAGTATTCGGGGGGTCCCATTGAAAAACATGCGTCTCTCTCCAAGATCGAGTCCCCTTCCACATAGTACATCATGTAAAAGTTGCACATCTCGTCGTTACCTGTGGAACTAAAAGCAAAAGCCATGTCATGTAAGCTGGGGGCCCAACCCCTTTTAGTCGCATTATGAGCGGGTATAATCACTAGTGCGTGGCGAATGTTAAAGACGCTAGGCTAGCTGTCGTGCTGCGTTAGCCAATTTTTTTTTTTTTTTTTTCCTCTGCGGCGGGAAGAAAAGGGGCCCATTTGATGATGGACTTTAAATGCACCGTCATAAATGCAGTGTTTTAGGCGTTACCGGAAAAAAAAGTAACGAGATACGTTACTTGCAAATAAAAGGAACGCATTACTGACCTACGTTACCTCGAAATACAAAGAACGCTTGCCCGTTACCGTACCAAAGTACCGAAAAAAACTTACGCGTAACCACCAACACTGCCTAAATGTCAGTGTTGGTGGTTATTATAGAAGGGAAGGAAGGGGGGTTGACCCCACAAGCCAAGTAGCCACTTATGTTAAAAAAAAAATGCAAACGTTTTTTGTTTGTTTTTGTCTCTTTTTTTTTGTCTTTTTTGCTTTTTTTATATTCTGATGCAAGTATTGACCGTTACCGGGTGACTGTTGGGTTGGGCGACAAGAACTGAAGTAAATAATTTAAGCACAACCAACAAAACCGCATTGTAAAAAAAAAAAGAAAAGTTGAACTAGGAGCCGAGAAAGTGAGGGAGAAAAGGAAACGAGAGCGCGGAGGTGACGTCAGAATGCCGAGCTCTGATTGGAGCGATTAGGGGGTAGACCTAAAGCTAGAGCTGCGTTTGTCTCCGCTGCACTCGTAGAACGCCGGATGCCGCCGTTGAGCGTTCTAATGCGTTTGACGAATGAAGTGGAGACAAAGGCAGCTCTAGCTTTAGGTCTACCCCTTAATTCTTCCTATCAGAGATCGGCGTTCCGACGTCCCCTTTCTTTCGTCATCTTCCTTAATATCTCGGCGCATTTCTCGGCGCACGAACCCCTTAAATTCTAGCGCCTTCCAGTCGCCAAATAGAGTAATTTGCTTTTTTTTTTTCAAGTCTGCTACGTCCAAATTCAACATGGCGGCCGCTACGAAAAAGACAGCAGCGGTGTATAGCTTCGTACACATGACTATAGAACATTACAACATTTTGCATTTTCACAGAGCTTGTTGCTTGTTTGTACTTTTGCTCGCTCGTAAAGCCGTGGGACTACTTGTAGGGGGAAATATTGAAGCAGCAGTAAATAAATACGTATTTGAATACTAGAAACGCTACGGCGCAGGCGACCTAAAGTTAGTTGAACGTACTTTGAAAAAATGAAGTTTAACTGACGTCTATATGCACTTAAAAAAGAAAAGTATAAACGGACGTCTAAGCAGATAATCACGAGAGCTTGTGTCAACAGTCACCCTGCGAAATGATAAAGAGCTGGCTCAGCTGCAGTGGCAGGTGCGAAACACACGATCGAGCTGAAAATTTACGGGCAACTGTATGTGGTTACGGGAGCGTGTGTTTCACAGTGTTGGCTGTTTTGTCAAACTCTCTTGTTTCTGTTTTTATTTCACGATTAAAATAGATACACTTTTCGCATTCACTGCATCAAATGTATCTTATTCAGTCTCAAACACTTGTTACGGTAATGCCTTCCAGAATGTTGCCCTTGCATCAAAATTGATTCAATAGATTAATAGACACATCTGAACTGGTAACGTAAATTACAAGTCAGAAATTTTTTTTTCTCGTAAAATTATTGCATTTTAAAGTTTCGTCTGAGAGGCTGAGGGGCTCTACTGGCAACACTGAAAGCGTTACGTCAAATGTCGTAATATAGGGTCAGTACCACTGCTCTCTACTGTAGTAGGCTGGATCGAGGATTGAGGCTCGTTTTTTCGAGGGTCGAGCGGCGCCACCTGCAGTCATCGCTTGACACCAGCTGATGCATGGGACTCCATGGCAGAAACGGGCAAAACTGCAATTTCTTACCTTATTAGGTTGTTCTTCAGGATAAAACTTTTCTCCTTTTTTCGGGGAATGACACTTCATATTCTGGGCCCAAATATCAAAAGCGTTAGAGTACCAATATTTTTTTTAGGTAAATGTTTTGTGGTTGAGGGACGAGCTCTTTGTGTTGTGTCTCTTGGTTTCTGACCCTGTCTTGTGGCGCTTCTTGTCAGAAGGAACTATGTACCAACTAGCCTATCTGTCACTATTGGTTTCGAATTCGTTGGGCGTAACTGTGTTGCGGTTCAATGAGTCAAGACTAGCCGAGAGTCAATGTGGAGTCGTTCGTGATCTAGAAGTCACCGGAGCTTAGCAAACAATAAGTTAGAAGGCATTTATTTGGGGAATTCGCGTCGTTTCAAGCACTTGTACAAAGTACTTCTGGTGCAAGCTTTTGATTTGAATCGCAGCCAGGGCTTCTTTGACGAACTGAGACTCGGAGCGTGACGTTCATTTGTTGTACGTGTCATTTATTTAGCAATTGAAGCAAGCGACACCGGCACAGTCGCTGGCTTCAATTGCCGAAGAACCTGTGCCGAGGCACCGGTGGTGCTTCGGCACGTTCGATCTTTATGAATCGGCGTTCGAACGCTTGACGAATACCGATTCGATCTCCTAAGACCCAATATAATGATCGCAACACATAAAAAAATACTCGCCTTCGAGCAACGCGTACAAGCTTCAATATTTCTACTTTTGTGTGTTTCTCCCATAAACTTGCATGTATTGCCTGGTGTCGAGCAAGGGCCGCCGGTGCGGGCACGACGGGCTCCCTATCCGCAATCCAGTCTACTACAATTGAGATTTGTGGTCAGTACAGCTTGTTTTGGAAAGGTTACAAATTACAAGATGTTTGGTAGTGTGAAGAACTCAACGCTGGGGAAGCTCAGGCCGGCAAAACAGAAACTGAACGCGCCAAATATTGTTATTTCTTTCTTTCTTTCTTTAATTTTGCCTGCTTGACTTGCAAGTTATACAATACATTGTGACGTCACCGGAATGGACAGCCCAAAACATTTCAATGTTGGGTTTGGTAGCACCTTCATTTGATGTTTTCTTTATAACTATTTTAAATTTACATATAATAAATAACATGCAAGGAAGTGTAAAGCTTCATCAGTATTCCGAAAATATCTTTAGACTGGGCAGGTAAACAAAAAACGCCTTTAACCTCTCCTACAACTTACAACTGGAGCTGACGCTGGTGGTGTATTTGATGCATACGAGTAAGAAGAGTTGTCCATTGAAGAAGTACGTTCTGGCCGATCACTCTATTCGTGTATTCAAAATATTGTTGTCCTAAGCCCATTATGAATACAACGTTGCACCATTCCCTCGTAGAGACTTCATTCCCTTAAGCACACGCATTCATATGGTAATCAATCGAGCAGCCGGATGTGGAGAAGTCAACCTCACCCAACGTAGGTATCCCTGTCCCTGAAGTTCTTCATGGTACATCGGGCAGCCTGTAGCAGGGCAACAAGAATAAAATTCGCATCGTCACTGCCCCCCGTTCCGCGACAAGTAATGGGAATTCGTTCCTACCCACACTTTCTTGGTAAAGTAGCATGGCAGGCGAGCTGGCATGTAGGAGAGCAGAAACCGGGGGAGAGAAGGAAAGACTCTCCTTTCCTTCTCTCCCCCAGTTTCTGCCCGCGTAGGCTCACGACGAAATACCCGAGACAGCGAAAAAAATAAACAGAAAGACAGACACACCTTTCTCCCAACATCCGGTCTTTCAGTATTTATTCTCTATGCTTAGCGCAAGTTCGTCTGCTCGTTGCACAGGGGTTGCAATGACGTCAGAACGCCGAGCTCTGATTCGTTCCGATTGGAAGGATAGTGGGGAGACCTCGAACCAGCTAGCATTGAGATCTTATTACCCTTCCAATTAGAGCCAATCAGAGTTCGGTGCCGTTCTGACGTCATCGCAAACTCCCGCGCAAGAAGCAGACGAACTTGAGCTACGCATAGTCACCGACATCTCAAGAACCGCGGGGCGTGGCGAGTACCGAGCATCTCATTTTCATTTGGCAACCAATCAGACTGCGGGATTGGCCGACAAGACGGCTTAAGAACGCATCACAAGGCAAGAAGCGTGAATTAACAAAATAAGCCATGCCCCCTGAGCTCCTTAAGCTGTCAGTGATTATAGTCCTCCTCAATAACGGATTTTGCGACTTTTTTTATCGAATTTTGAGGTTTGATTGGTTCGCCGAACCTTACAACTTTTTACGGGCTAAGTCGGAGCTCAAATTTTCAACATTGTTGAACAGAGTCTACAACAATTCTAATTTTTTAATCCGATAGCATGCTTTAGATTTCGTGGACCTAATGCGCAGCTTCCCCGCTACAATTAGCAGAAAAACTGGCGTCACATGACATTTACACCAATTCAGTTTCTCCGTCAAATTTAGCGGGAATTTCGATGTCACGTGACCTAACGTCATGGAACTTTGGAGCCAATTCATTTTTCCCGCTAAATGCAGCGAAAAAAAATTTTAATCGCACGAGTTATATACCAATTCAGTTTCCCCGCTAAATTTAGCGGATAATTTGGTGTCACGCGATCTGACGTCACGGGACCTACAAACCAGTTCAGTTTCCGCACTAAATTTAGCGAAAAATTCGATGTCACGCGAACTGACATCACGGGACCTACAAACCAATTCACTTTCGCGGCTAAATTTAGCAGAAAAATTGCCGAGGGCGATGTTAAGATCGACGTCTAGAACAACCTTGAGGACAACCTCTAGTGCGACCTCTAGGGCCATGGGCCCTAGAGGTTGTCCTAGAGGTTGTCCTAGAGGTTGTCCTCGAGGTCGTCCTATACGTCGTCCATGGCCTCGTAACAAAAAAGGAGGTAAAAATGTCGAATGCTATCGCAATTCATAGACAACCAACATTAATGGTTCCTGCAGCCATTTTGTTTAGTCATTTATAAAATAGCTTGTTGTAAGATTTAGGGAATAATCACCCACGTTTGCATAATATAAAAACGAACACACACTTCTTTTTAGTAATTTTCTTAGTTTGTTTAAATGTTGCACCCTATCCTACGCATGATGGTGCCAGCTTGCTTTTAATTGGCACACATAAGCATAACAGTTCTTCAGTCCAAGAAATGCCTGCGCGTATACTTACCCTCAAAACACTCGAAGAGCCAATCTCCGCGATCTACGAAATCAGCTCAGCGAATTATGAGGCGGAACATCCGTTTAGACCTCAAAATTAAGTGTTCGCTGTGTCATTACGCCATGCAACTATGAAGCTTTGCATCGCGTAATGCCACAGCGCAGACTTCATTTTGAGGTCTAAACGGAAGTTCCGCCTCATCATTCGCTGAGCTGATTTCCTAGATCGCAATGATTGGCTCTTTGAGTGTTTTGCGGGAAAGTAGACGCGCAGGCCTTTCTTAGAGTGTAGTCTCAACTATCACCACACAAGACTAAAGTTAATTAAAAAGCTCAAAATGACCAGCGACGCACACACACATTTGATGACAATCGTTAACGGCCTAGTTTTAAGCCAAGACAAAATCAGAACAATCTCAACTCCGTCGTCCCACCACAAGGCACACACCAGAATGTCTCCCTGGACGATCGAAACACCCTTCTTGGCGGGGTAGAACATCTGCAAGGGTTCATTCACACGCATTAACTGAAGTTCGTTCAGTGACCGCTCAACAGTCAACGGTCAAAGTACACTCGCCTGTGGCTCGAGAGGATTGTGTTTACCAATATTGATCCACTTGCCGTTCCTGATCACATAACCAGTCACCGCCTTTCCTGGAAGTAAGCACAAGGTTACTTCTTTGTTCCGCATGCATTGTCTTGTTTTTATTAAAACACACTTTTTGTGTCTTTTAAGGATTGCACGGCGCTCACGATTTATGAGGAACGTTCATAAAGTTCGTATTATTGGTGAACAAAATAGCGGCCAAATTTGCACTGCGGGGCAAGGCTGCCTCTTTGTAGTTTTTGCGCATTCAAAAAATTCCTCGCACAGTGCACAACGATTTTCACATGCACAATGATTTGCACGTGACGAAGGTCGGCACTTTCTGGATTTTACGATTGCTCACTCTTATGCATACAGAGAGCCGAAAGGAATATGCAACGGAAAGATTGGAGCTCTTCCAAGCTGCCCCTGACAATTTCTTTGATCGCCTGGTCACGACGAACAAGTTCTGGGTTTGCCATATTACGGCACCAACAGGCTGGAACAACGCGAAGAGTATAATCTGCAAATTCACTACCACTCCAAAAAGGCTAAAACGCAGCCGCCATGGGGAAATTTATAATGAAAGTTTTTTCGGACTGATTACGCAGATTACGCACGTAAAGGCAAAAGTGTTGCAGGGAAATATTACCGGGACTCCCTGACGAGGCCTCAAAAAATCTTACCAATAAAGTGTGTTTGCTCCACCAGAAGTCACTGACCCCTATTTCACAGAAGACGGCGACACATGCGGCTGCCTTAGGCTAAGAAAATTTGTGTCAACCTTTCATTCTGCCCGACCTGGCCCCCAGTGACGTGTTCTTTCCTCACACAAACAGCTCACTTCGTGATAGGAGCTTCTAGGACAATGATGAGGTGAAGGTCGAGGAGGGACGCATCCTCAATAAGCCGAAATGCGAATTTCTGCAACCAGGGTATCCTCCGTCTAATCCGTAGGTGGAAGGAGTGTGATATTTTATGTGGTGCGTATGAAAAGAATGACTAGTCCCCTCCCTTCCTCACCGGCCCCACCGACGCCCATGATCGCAGCTTTGTTTCTTCATGACAATAATACAAAACTCATGAACGTCCCTAGCGTATACGTATACTGTAATGGCCACCTATACAATGACAAAGGCTGCACTGACAAAGGCTGGCAGATCGTTACGAGAAGCGGCCGCCGAAATGGAAAAGGTGGAGCGGCGGACAACGGATCAGAGGAGAGCCACGTGACTGGCGCCCCGCTGCGGCGAGACGGCGAAACACAATTCTCCCGAGCGAAGAAGTGTGTTTCGGGTCCTCGCCGCTGCAAAAGCTGCGCGCTGACGTCCAGGTTCCCTAAGAAATGGCTCTTTGATGCTCTGTGCTACCAGATCCTCGCGTTCCAAATCTGCGACCGGGCACTTATACGGCTCCGTCGTCGAACTGCCAGGCTTTGTGACTATAGAGGAGGCTATGATAATGTACGTAGAAAAACTGAGGGAGAGGAGGAAATTAAAGTGCCCGAGGACGTCACATCGCCGGGCCCTGATTCGAAGAATAGATGCAAAGGCTATCCGTTTTTGTATCTACTCGGCGTTAGAACGCGTTCGAACACCGAACTGCGGCGTCCGGCGTTCGAACTCGAGATAGTGCGCGAGGAGCAGACGACGCTTTGGTTAGCTCTGTGTGGAAGCAGACAGTGGGCAAAAAAGACGAAGGCAGCTATAGCCTTTGCGTCCAACCGCTAATCCTTCCAATCAGAGCTGGGCTCGTATCCTCCCCTAGTTCGTGTCGTCTCTTTTGAACGCCCGACCTTGAGTGCGCGCTTTGCCTTCCGTCGTGCTTTGGCTTCGCGCGTGCATACTCGAGGTTAACGAGGCGCCAAAACGTTCTCATCCTGTCACTGACTATTCGCGACTCCAATGAATTATAAGGGGCGCGCAGCTCAGGCAAAATGGCGGAAGAAAGGAGGTCGTTTTCGTCGTTCAGCACGCGGACCACCATAAATTTCTTGCACTGCAGCGTAAAATCGGTATTACGTATAAAAGCAAAGCAATTTTTCGAGGTAGAAACCTTTTTCTAGTCAGTGCGTAGGAATCACACGGCGGAAGCGTAAAAATAATTGCTGGAAACGATGTTTGTCTCCATGCTGCCTACGAGAACCGAACAGCGATAGCAGAGTCCGAACGACCTCTTCTCCTGAGGTTCTCGGTGCTGCCGCTACGCGGCGTCGATTTCGCTAGAGTTGCCATTATACACGAACAAGTTTGATTTAATCAACCAACGTTAAAAAGAGATCTGTTTCGTCCGGATATACACAGGTTTACTCCGACATTCTTTATAGGGAGTCGCAATTAAACCGGGCACCAGTCACATTCTTTTGTGCCACCGACTACTGACTCACAAAATCATTCACAGCGTAAAAAAAAAATTCTAGACAGTTTGAAAACAAACTTGCTCCGTCTGTTCGCATAGTTGAATACGGATTAGTACGGCTGTACCCATTTATTTGGGCGGCGGCTTGCGCCACCTAGCCAACTTCATAGGAGGCAACACCACAAAGCAGAAAAGATGTGATGCAAAGAAGCAGGGAGATACCACCTATTCGAGATTGCAGAGGGAACCTGCGCGTCCTAACGGTCGAAATTTCAAACAGAGGAAAGGGAATAGCAAACGCGTGCTCAATTCGCACTCAAAGTGACAAAACGACAGAGCTCTACGCAAGCAGCGTGGTGCTCTGGATCTTCGGAAGGATCTACGAAAATGTCCCATACTATATTCCAGTTTCCCCAAGCGGAGCGCAGCGAGGGGTGACGCGCGTCGAGGGATCTCCACGGAAGCATAGCTTGGAGTTCCAGCCATCCTTGCTTCGTTGATATTGTGGGTTTTCCGTTAATTATAAATTATGGATAGTGGACCTAGCAAACGCGTGCTCAATTCGCACTCAAAGTGACAAAATGACAGAGCTCTACGCAAGCAGCGTGGAGCTCTGGATCGTCTGAAGGATCTACGAAAATGTCCCATACTATATTCCAGTTTCCCCAAGCGGAGCGCAGCGAGGGGTGACGCGCGTCGGGGATCTCCACGGAAGCATAGCTTGGAGTTCCAGCCATCCTTGCTTCGTTGATATTGTGGGTTTTCCGTTAATTATAAATTATGGATAGTGGACCTAGCAAACGCGTGCTCAATTCGCACTCAAAGTGACAAAATGACAGAGCTCTACGCAAGCAGCGTGGAGCTCTGGATCTTCTGAAGGATCTACGAAAATGTCCCATACTATATTCCAGTTTCCCCAAGCGGAGCGCAGCGAGGGGTGACGCGCGTCGGGGATCTCCACGGAAGCATAGCTTGGAGTTCCAGCCATCCTTGCTTCGTTGATATTGTGGGTTTTCCGTTCATTATAAATTATGGATAGTGGACCTAGCAAACGCGTGCTCAATTCGCACTCAAAGTGACAAAATGACAGAGCTCTACGCAAGCAGCGTGGAGCTCTGGATCTTCTGAAGGATCTACGAAAATGTCCCATACTATATTCCAGTTTCCCCAAGCGGAGCGCAGCGAGGGGTGACGCGCGTCGAGGAATCTCCACGGAAGCATAGCTTGGAGTTCCAGCCATCCTTGCTTCGTTGATATTGTGGGGTTTCCGTTAATTATAAATTATGGATAGTGGACCTAGCAAACGCGTGCTCAATTCGCACTCAAAGTGACAAAATTACAGAGCTCTACGCAAGCAGCGTGGAGCTCTGGATCTTCGGAAGGATCTACGAAAATGTCCCATACTATATTCCAGTTTCCCCAAGCGGAGCGCAGCGAGGGGTGACGCGCGTCGGGGATCTCCACGGAAGCATAGCTTGGAGTTCCAGCCATCCTTGCTTCGTTGATATTGTGGGTTTTCCGTTAATTATAAATTATGGATAGTGGACCTAGCAAACGCGTGCTCAATTCGCACTCAAAGTGACAAAATTACAGAGCTCTACGCAAGCAGCGTGGAGCTCTGGATCGTCTGAAGGATCTACGAAAATGTCCCATACTATATTCCAGTTTCCCCAAGCGGAGCGCAGCGAGGGGTGACGCGTGTCGGGGATCTCCACGGAAGCATAGCTTGGAGTTCCAGCCATCCTTGCTTCCTTGATATTGTGGGTTTTCCGTTAATTATAAATTATGGATAGTGGACCTAGCAAACGCGTGCTCAATTCGCACTCAAAGTGACAAAATTACAGAGCTCTACGCAAGCAGCGTGGAGCTCTGGATCGTCTGAAGGATCTACGAAAATGTCCCATACTATATTCCAGTTTCCCCAAGCGGAGCGCAGCGAGAGGTGACGCGCGTCGAGGGATCTCCACGGAAGCATAGCTTGGAGTTCCAGCCATCCTTGCTTCGTTGATATTGTGGGTTTTCGGTTAATTATAAATTATGCATAGTGGACCTAGCAAACGCGTGCTCAATTCGCACTCAAAGTGACAAAATTACAGAGCTCTACGCAAGCAGCGTGGAGCTCTGGATCGTCTGAAGGATCTACGAAAATGTCCCATACTATATTCCAGTTTCCCCAAGCGGAGCGCAGCGAGGGGTGACGCGCGTCGGGGATCTCCACGGAAGCATAGCTTGGAGTTCCAGCCATCCTTGCTTCCTTGATATTGTGGGTTTTCCGTTAATTATAAATTATGGATAGTGGACCTAGCAAACGCGTGCTCAATTCGCACTCAAAGTGACAAAATTACAGAGCTCTACGCAAGCAGCGTGGAGCTCTGGATCGTCTGAAGGATCTACGAAAATGTCCCATACTATATTCCAGTTTCCCCAAGCGGAGCGCAGCGAGGGGTGACGCGCGTCGGGGATCTCAACGGAAGCATAGCTTGGAGTTCCAGCCATCCTTGCTTCCTTGATATTGTGGGTTTTCCGTTAATTATAAATTATGGATAGTGGACCTAGCAAACGCGTGCTCAATTCGCACTCAAAGTGACAAAATTACAGAGCTCTACGCAAGCAGCGTGGAGCTCTGGATCGTCTGAAGGATCTACGAAAATGTCCCATACTATATTCCAGTTTCCCCAAGTGGAGCGCAGCGAGGGGTGACGCGCGTCGAGGGATCTCCACGGAAGCATAGCTTGGAGTTCCAGCCA